ATCACCTGTTCACTTCTAACCAAATAGAGCAAAAAGGTAATTATAGGAAAGCAATTCATGGACAAAGACTTTAATCAGTTAACCATGACTCGCTTCTATTCTATCTGTGCATCTTAGTATCGAGCGATACGCAGAAAGACATCGGCAGTCTTTTAACTGCGGGTGGGTGTGATTCACCTAACCCCTTCCACTATGCTCGATCCTTTTTTTTCCTTAAATATTTTTCGCAATTTTTCGTTATAAAATTGTTTGGCTGTGGCCTGAGATCGTTCATATTTCAGATTCCAGATATTGAGTCGTAGTTTATCGCATAACACGGTTACTTCATTAGATATGGATTTCATTAGAGCAAATAGATAGCTTCCGCCGGGAAAAGTATTCTCACTACTAGCTTCTTTAAATGTGTCCGGTTTGAAGATGAAAACTGACTACTCCGAATCGTTATGGTGGAAAGCCTACGTTCTCAAATTTAGTCTATGAAGCTTACGACTCCATGAAAGACTCTACCTGCTTCTTTGAGCATCTTCAATCCTCGTTTCGCGTCTTCAATTGGTAAAACGAAGGAGTTCTTTGCGGTATGGAAGCAGAAACCACATTTGTAGTTGCATTGTCTTGTGAAGTGATAATTGACACTTCGAGGAATAATTTTATCCGTGGAAAGAACGCGAGAATTCAATGGACTTCTTCGTGCGTGAACGCCATGGCGCGTTCTTCTTCGCCCCAAATGTTTGACAGGACTTGTTTGTACTTCTTTGGAAGCGTTACGCTTCGCTTCCTCAATATTTCTTCTTGTAAGAATCTTCTTGATCAAAAAGAAAGAGATAATTGTAATTATAATCGCAATAAAACTGTAGAGTAGGAGAGATGACATAGTAACGTTAACTTCAGCCATCTTTGTGAAAAATAAATTCTGAGAAAGCTACCCAGATATATTCTCAGAATTTCGATGACGTCATTGATGCTTGGCTTTATTTACATAAACCGGAAAGCACCAGATTTATTCTCAGGACTTCGGGGATTTTTCTTCAGTTTTTGTTTTTTGCATATGGCTCGCTCTTATTAAAGTGAATGAGGGTAATAAGCGAATTTTGCAATTTTTGCGGGTAAAAGCACAAATCACTTCTCCTTCAGGATATAATCGTAGAACTTGCCAGACGACGCTCGTGACTGGGTTTTAGATTTAACTTGCTACTAAGAAATAGGGACAATAGGGAATTTAAGCAAACCACGACAGCGGCGGCAAGGAGAACGTGGAAAAACAATAGATCTAATTGGCAGAACAATAGCCCAGCACGTACGTTTTAAAACTTTGAACATTTCTTAGCCGTCCTTTGCAAAACAACAACGTGAAATCACCAAAATTTGCGTCGTCTGCGAAGAGAAACCGCGGCGGCAAATTATTTTAATTTACATTTGGAACTCAACGCTACTTTTATGCGTTATGTTGAGTTTGAGGTCTGGCGCCCTAGGAGACGGTAAACACATGCAGCCATTTTCGAAATTCCAACTAAAAGTAGAAACTCATTTTTTAATCGACATCTTCCGTGGCGTTGCCGTCCTGACTGCTTAAAAGTCCCTAATAGCGGAGCTCCGGCGCCGCAGGCAGGCGTCCATGTTGATGGAGGAATTCTCGGAAAGCACCCTGATTAATTCCCAAAATTGTGATGACATCATCGATGTCAGTATTCTTTTTCCATCTAGCCTCATTCTTATTCAAGTCAATAAGGGAAAAAAACCGAGGTTTGAATGAGGGGAAAAACCGAGGTTTGAATAAGGGAAAAAGACCGAGGTTTGAATAAGGGAAAAAGACCGAGGTTTGAATAAGGGAAAAAAACCGAGGTTTTAATAAGGGAAAAAAAAAAAACCCGAGGTTTGCATGGGGGAAAAAAACCGAAGTTTGAATAAGGGAAAAAAAAAAAACCGAGGTTTGAATAAGGGAAGAAAACTGAGGTTTGAATAAGGGAAAAAAAACTGAGGTTTGAATGAGGGAAAATAAACCGAGGTTTAAATATTTGAGGGTAAAAGCAAATGTCGCTTCTCCTTCCGATATCATGCAACTGGCCAGATGTCTCTAGTGACTGCGCTCAAGAGAATCTGGACTAGCCTATCAGATTAAAAAAAACTTGATTCTGGTGCAGAAACCTGCAAGAAGCACTTTCTATGCAGTATCTATAGCAGAGCTCCTGCGCGACAAGCGTCCATTTGATAGAAGCACAGGCTTCCCAAGCTTGCGTCTCAAAAAAAAAAGCGGTAGATTATTTCATCCAAGCGTTACACATTGTGTGACGCGGTCTTAAATTACGTGAGAAAAAAAGAATTTGAATGCATCATAAGGATTAACACGGAGAAACGAAATATGATCCATTTACAACACTAAATATTCCTTAATATCAACATTTTACAAGTGAGATTGATAAAACTTTCTCACTCCTTGCCTGTCCGTCGTGGTTTTTGCCGATTTCTGCCGTTTTGGGCTTGCTTTGCCATCACTGTTATTCCTACTATAACAGAAATAAATCCAATTCTTAGCGGTTCTTCGTGTCACAGAGTGCGTGACACTTTCGCTTTTTCTTGAAACGTGAGCTTGGGACAACTGCGCCCAGATTTATTCTCAGAATTCTGATGACGTCATTTTTGTTTTGATACAAGTTTTGTGAAAGGCAGGTGGAAGGATTTGTCTAATATTGTGCAAAAGCGTCGTGTATGAATTAAAAGAAAGGGAAAATATCCACATGTTTTGGCAATGTACGAAATAGATGAACAGTTTGAGAGCTCCGGTGTCCTGTGCATTAGGGACTTTAAGCAGTCAGGACGGCAACGCCACGGAAGATGTCGATTAAAAAATGAGTTTCTACTTTTAGTTAGAATTTCGAAAATGGCTGCATGTGTTTACCGTCTCATAGGGCGCCAAACCTAAACATAACGCATAAAAGCAGCGTTGAGTTACAAACGAAAATTAATATAATTTGCTGCCGCGGTCTCGCTTCGCAGACGATGCAAATTTTGGTGATTTCACGATGTTGTTTTGCAAAGGACGGCTAAGAAATGTACAAAGTTTTAAAACGCACTTGCTGGGCTACTGTTCTGCCAATTAGATCTATTGTTTTTTCACGTTCTCGTTGTGGTTTGCTTTAAGTCCCTATTATGGCTTCAGCAACCCTTCAGAGAACAGGAGCCATACAAACATCCACGGTCAGGCACAAATTGAAATTTTATTCTTGAATGGAAATAGAAAATGGTACAGCACTACAGTCTAAAACATCGCGAGTAATAACACCAGTTATCCTTCTATACTAATAAATCCGTCTCTACTAAATGTCACCACGGCTATTTTTCCAGGGTGATCCGTCTCACAGAAAATGCTTTTTGTATGCTATCAATACTTAGCCGTCAGGTTGGAATCACCATTCCGTACTGAACAATTTAAAAGGGAGCCTAAGCACAAACATTTTAGAGACACAGACAGCAGCCAGAAGTTAAAAGTTCTCATTCCTGTCGCTCACCATACCTATTTTGCTCGGCACAAACCAATTTAACCTTGCGGCGGATACATTGACGTCAAAGCGCGCAAGAAACCCATTAGTTTTTTTTTCTTCCGGTTTTCTTCCGCGTCTCAAAAACTTCTCTGCCTAACTTCTCTAATGCTTCGCAAGATACTTCAACCACCATTTAAAAGATTTCACGCAAAATACTTGAACATTTTTTAAGAGTATTGGCCGTAGAGCTGAACACGTCTAAAAATTATTTTTTTAAATAGAAATATCCCCAGATACTCTTGACAGGAGCCAAATCAAAGTTTCTGCAGCATCTTTAAAAATTTCAGCATAAATTTTCCAAGTTCAAATTGCTGTCTGCGACAATCCCTCCATCAATGTTTGTTCCCAGACGGGTGCATTCTTCCCATATTGCTGATTTTTTTCCACTCACCAAACTCAAGAGTATTTTATGGCTACTTTCAAATTGAAGGAAATTTTGCTCGCCGCGATAAACTCTTAACTATCGTGTCACAGCCCCTAAATTTATTTTCACATTTGAACAAACTACCTGGGATTTGCAAAGTTATCATGTTTAGTCTTTTGGAACCAACGTGGTGCAGTCAGTACCGAGATGTCCAGCAGTTACACAAAGAAATACTGGCTCTAGGACAAACAACTCACTACCTCTGCTATGTTTTTAAAGTTGGATAATAATTACGAAAAGTAAGAAAGACAAACAACTAGCTTGATATCAATAAAGGCAAAAAATAATAAAAAAAAAGCGAACATTCTGACACAGAATAGGCTGGATTTCCAAATACGCTCATTTTTCATTAGAACTGAAGTCCCTTGAGTAAATGAAATATCTCGGGGAGGGGAAGGGAGAGAATCTGTACAAAACTAACGAGGGTGATCTGTATCATCACAGACATAAAATACCACAGGGATTGAAACATGCACCACAAACGGATTAAAATAGATTTACAGCAGATCCAAACTTGTACCTTTAAGGTTTTCGGGTCAAATTTTTGACTGCCGCCCCTGTTACGTTATATGGGATTCCCCCTCAGGGGGGAGGAGTGGAACGGGGGGGGGGAGTGGGAAAAATGTGTAATTAGTACACCCAGCTGACTGGGACCCATTGCGGCTCACTGCTAAGCCCTTCGATACAATCCTTGAGCTGAGACAAGGCATCATCAAGGTTGTCATTCACAATGATTTTATCAAAATAATGCGAATAGCTGTTGAAAAGCTTTTCTGATTCCTCGGCTGTCCTCTGAAGATCTTCGTCCTAAAAAACAAAAATAAGACATGGTTTTCATCACAAATTACAACAATTACAAAATCCTGCAAAATGATTGGCTCAGAGCAGTAGTTGTTTGCCTCTCAGTCTAGACTAAGAGAAGTCCTTCTTTTTCTGCGAAGTCTGTCGCGCGAGCCCGGAAAAAAAAACAAAAAAAGAAAGAAAAAGAATAAGAATGAGCGTTAGCGCGCCACGCTGACCTCTGGGATTGAGGCGCTCGAAAAGTACTCCACACTCTCAGAGTTTTCCTTTAACCCTTTAACTCCCATGAGTGATCAAGACAGAATTTCTCCTTACAAAATCAATGCAATATCAAGCAGACAAATGATGAGAATAAAGAAAAATGTAAATTTGAGGATTGTTAGTTGATCCAATACCAAATTCTCAAAACTAACTTCATAAATATGGTATGGAAGACGGTAAGACGAATTATTAATGAGATCTGGGGGACAAGTGAGTACTCTTGTCGATCACCAATGACCGGGTTACATACTTACCGTCTGTTTCTTGGTAATGGTTCCCTCTGATGTGGCTCGTTTATGAATTTCTCTCAGGGTCTCAATAGGTGGCGACGCAATAAATACGACAAACGGCATAAATTCTGGCGTCTTCAGAATCTTTAGAGCCTAAAAAAAGTAAACAAAAAAAGGTAAGTATTTCCGCATCTAAGCTAGCTTACGTGATTATCATCCTGCAATTAGGCACTTGTTGCTGTTTGGAATAGTACTCTTTAATTCTTTTCAAGAATGCCGACACTTAATCCTCGTTTTACATCATTTTCTCCAAGCCCTGAACACCAGTTAGAGAATCTCAGCACGTTGGAGAAATGTTCAACTGAGTGTCGAAAGTGATCCGAGACTGCTTTGGTTTTACTTAAGTTTGCCCTGTAAGTGGCCAAGAAAACCAATCAGATGCAAAACTAAGAAACAATCGCCACTTCTTCGTCCGCGTTTACCCGCGCTTCCAGCAGATTTTTTACGGTGAGTTCTCATTGGCTAATGGCAATGTAAACCTTTGTTCTGATTGGTCAATGGAATTAAAACTAAACTGCTGAGTTCCACTTTTCCTTACCGTAGAGTTAACATCCAGAATACACATTTTCCCAGAACGCATGACTTCACGAATACTGTCCACCTTAGTTCCGTACAGGTTCCCCTCATAGTCTCCATGTTCCAGATACTTTCCAGCTCTTATGTCTTGCTCCATTTCTTCTCGGCTTACAAAGTTGTAACCTTTGCCATTTTCTTCGCCTTCTTTTGGTTCTCGTGTTGTGTCTGCAAAAACAAAGATTTCGCTTGAATTTGAAAAGACAAAATGTACAATATTTAAAAAATTAAACAGAGAGCAAGTCCTCTCGTTTCTCCGCCCGCGGGAAGATTTGAGACGAGTCAGCGAGAGGTTGGCCGGGGGTCTGGCACTAATATCCGTGCTGAATTCCTTAGAGACCGCTGGCTACCTCGCGTTGCTCAAGGCGTCTTTCTTTCCCGCTGACGAACAAACGCTCGCGCCGAAGCGCTGAAAATGATCGCTTGCTCGCAAGCTACTAAACCATTTACTCTAATATTCAAGATTGGAATTTTCTTCAAGTTTACATAAATTCTGTATTTCAAACTTTGTAAGCAGAACAGAAAAATGAATGAATTCTGGATATACAATTCACCCCCCACAACTTGAACTCACAAAGAAAATCATAAAGAATTCTTTCAAGTTATTCGCAATGGCAAGGTATCATTAAAACTATTTTTGAAAGAGGCAATTGTTACTGTTGAAGCTATGTGTTTATTCTGGTCAATAACTAAGTGATAATACACGTGAAAGGATTTTATACTACACTTTGACAAAGGGGATTTCAATTATTAATGGGAAACATTGTAAAGGATGAGAAAATCACTACGAGTTCAAAGGATTTTGGGTAGTTGACCGTAAAGTTACAATGCATACAGAGCGCTCCTCAATTGAGTGTCGTCAAACCAGCACGGCCAATTAGAAGGAAGGGAAATACCTCTAAGAGCCAATGAGAACTCGAAGTGAAACCGACCAACCTGTTCAAAGCGCGGGAAAACGCAGGCGACAAGTCTTGATTAGTTTAAGTTTTGCATCTGATTGGTTACTGAATTCTTTTGGGCACTCCATTGAAAACAATTGCAAAGTAACCGATAATAATAACACGGTTTGCTAAACTTGAAACAGTACTTAGCAGTCATTTAAGTGGTACTCACGGGGTATTGTGGTACTGAATCTTGCCCTGTCTGACAGGATGATCCTGTTTTTCAGCGTTCTTCGACCCACACCTTGAGCACCTATAAGATTTACACAGATCTCAGAATGAAAGTATAATTTGTGGTTTAATCTTGAAGTGGAAAAAAAGTAGTCTGGAATTAGGGCCAGAGATTCAAAATTACAATACGTTTATGCAAGGGGCAAGCCGCAAGAATTAGCACCGAACCCCTCCCAATAAAGAAACACTGACAAGGGCTTTCTTTAAGCGGCTGGCAATGGTTTAATAGACAGATGTGCCATAAGCTAAAGGCCAAACCCAAACACGAAAGCCGGCTTGCAGGGCTCAACAGACGGCTGTAAGAAGTCAGTCAGCGGTAGACCGCTAGTAACCAGTGGCTTTTATTGAAACCACTGACGAATAAGAGCCAAAAATGTAATTCATTTTGAAAGCTTAATCATTCAAAGTGTGATGTCGCGTTTAAAGATTTTTACTTACCAACAAGGACCAGAGTCTTGCGGCGGAAAGGTGGCATTTTGGCAACCTCTTCATAAATAGTCATTTCATGTTTGTCGAACTCTGTTGAAGGAGGAAAAGAATTTGATACTGATTTGGTGCTAAAAGTTGTATGATAATATAACTGAATGGTGAATATAAAGTTACTCTTGTTAAAACTCACAAAACCGTGAACACCAGATTTATCTCTGAAAGGTGATTACGTTCCGTGAAAAATCAGGCAACTTAACCTTTTGACCCCCTGACGTCATCAATTTATAATTTCTCCTTGTTATTCCAATAAAAAAATTATGCTGTCTTGCAAACAGGTAAAGAGAGAGGACAAGCTTAACAGCAAAATTGAATAAATTGTAACGTAACATTGCAATGTATCCTTCACAACTTACCAGCATTTTTTGCAGACTTGTACATTATCTTCTGCTTCTTTTTGCTACCACACACTACAAACAGAAGTAAAATGCATTTCCAGTCAATTTCTTTTTCTGAACTTTGGTTTCTTCCCCGTTTCACTTCCTTACACTGTAAATCCTAACAACAACAAAACTTTTTTTCCTTCTCGTATGTGCATGTACAACAACAACACTTTTCGTCCTTCTCGTATGTGCATGCACATTTACCAGCACACGTAACTATTTAGCGTGAGAAACACTTACAGAATCCACTTCCTGGTCTCTCCTTTTTGACAAAAGATCTTCTCCTAAAAATCATCGAAGATACAAAGAGTCAAATTCACAATTATGACAAATGAATTGCCAATGTTATTGACCACATGACTGTCATATCAATCTTAAGGAGTATATAATATCGGCAGACCAAGTTCTTTACATTTGGAATCCTCTTCCAATTACGATCACTTATTCGATTACTTGTTCGATTACTTACTCGATCACTTGTTCGATTACTTTCTCTACAGTTAAAAAAAGATGATTGAATTTGGAATGAAATGAACCTCAATCCATCAAGCCGCACATCCATAATCCAATTACAAAGATATTAACAACCAAGTTGATCTCCTCTGTGAGTCTGAGGGTTTCTTGCAGGTCTCCTTCCCCAAACATACTGTCACCTTGACTTTGTATAAATATTACTTTGGAAGAGGCTAATACATGACAATGCTGATGACAATACCTATGAGTTAAATACTTTTTCTTAGAAAAAAGGTTGTTCACATGAGTTCCTTGGTGTTCTGATCATCTGTTGTGATTGCTTTGGTTTTGAAAAAGCAACAATTACCTTTCCTCACAGATTTGGCTTGGAATAATCCCTGCTTCATGCAAGCCATCAGCCCTCTTAGCCTGAAATTTCAAATTGATACAATTTCATTTGCTGTCAACTGTCCATCTGGAATTTCTAACTTAACGGTAAGAGGAAGGTGGACATTGTTGAAAACTAGACATCATTGGTTACAAGGTTGTCTATTAACTGCCGAGCACCTACAGGTGTATCATATTTTCAACACAATCTTTAGTTGACAACATGAAGTACATGACACTGTACTGGCCTAGAACCCAGGGCTCCACACTAACTTTTCAACTTACTAGCCAACTGGCTAGTGACAACTTAGATGTTATGACAATTTCAGTTTGTTCACTAGCCAAACTGGCTAGTGGAAATTGAAAACCACTACCCAAAACTGAGTTTCTATTAGTCTGGGGCTAGTTGGCTACCATTAGTGTCTAGCCCTGGAACCAATGAGTAATAGGAGGATGTCAATTGATCTAACTCCAAAATTCTCAATACTAAAATTATAATAAATGTACAGGAAACAGTGCAGAGAATTAATCTTTAGATTTTTAGGAGTGGAAGGGTTAACATTACCTGCCACCAGTTGGGATCCTCCTGTTCAACAATCTGTAGCACATCCCCAATTTTGAATGACAAGCCAGCATCTTTGCAAGGAATCATAGTGTCCTTTTCTGGGTTGTAGTCAAAATGAGCACGAACAAATACCTATACAATGATGTAATGAAGTTAATCAATTGTAGTGCACTGATATAAATGGGAAAAAAAAAAAAAAAACCGACATAAGACCAAGTGCTCCAGCTGGCAAGTCTCCTAAGTTGGAGAGACTGGAAGGAACCTCACAAAAAGACTGACTGAAGACAAGTTAGAGAAAAGAAATAATCACATTGCTGAACATTGAAAACCTGAAACAATCACATTGCTAAACATTGTCAACCTATAACGGATGCTCAATGATTAACCTGCAGCACTAACTATTTTCAGTGAATGACTATGGAAAACTGGTTCATTAACTAAAACAGACTCCCTGCAAAAGGTGTCCACTACAATCTGCACCATATAAATGACTTGTTTACCACATCTACACCAGGAGTTAGTAATTCAAATAAGTTGTTTACCTGACTCAATGCTGGTGCCTCCAAGTTAGTTGGAATAACTTTGAGGAAGATTTTTCCTGTGGATTCACGCTGGAAAAAGAAAATTACCTTCAGTTAGGAATTACAACAACAACATCACCTAACTGCAAAACAAACATCTTTCAATCATCTGACCAATAAAATTTGACCAAATTTGATCAATAAAGTTTACTTTTCTTTTTTCAAGACTCACCAATAAATCTTGAAGTTCTTCTGGATTTCCACTCATATCTCTTCCATTCACTTCCTTAATTCTGTCTCCAACATGGAGAAGACCTAAAATAATAATAATAAAAAAATTGTGAACACTTCCAATTTGTTATCTTAAAATCAATTACAAGTTGGTTCAAGTACTTGGAATTTCTTAAGGCTACATCTACATCAACAAGCCTTTATCACTTACTACTTCAGGAACTCTTTGAGGATATGGTAGACCTTTGCCAAAATGCTTTTTTCTCCTCAAACAAAGCATTACTGTTATTTTAAAATATTGAAATGCACTCCAGTTATTTACAAAAACGTTTTTCAAACTGAATTCTTTGAGCTGCCAAGGTGCAAAAAGCCAATTATAATGTGACAACACAAATGCCTCCAGTTATGTGTTTTGTGGCAGAATATCCGGGATAGTATTAGTCGCATAAACATCTTCATATGCCAGTTTCACGTGTTTATTGTAGCAGTTCATGAAATAATGAGTAGAATTAAAGTGGAAAAGAGCCCTCGGGTGAAAGCTAGAGAGAAGCCTGGCTGTGAGCGCCAGACAATAAAGGATTTGTTGAAGAATGGAGGCGAACAGAAGAAATTCAAGGCAAAGGAATGTTTTGGTTTTGCTTGTACCATGGGCCCTTGTCCAATTTAGTTAGATTTTTTCCTGGCATTCCAAAGCTCTATCATGCACTAACTACAAGTAGTTTGCCATGAAACATGTTTTTGTCGAGAGTCTCCTGTGACTCTGGTCCTGTGTTTCTATTGGTGGTCTGAATTTCTATTTTTCAGAGTGTTAACATAACTTGACATGTGATTAATCAAAGGCATGAAATGTTTGAAAAACTTAGGAAGCGAAAAAGACCCACTTTGTTTTTATGCAAGTGTCCCTTCTATGGATGAATTAATAGGGTAAGAAACCTTTAAAGATTGACTCAAAATTTGGTCTAAAGGCTCCCAAGATATCAGTCTGAAAAACTGTACAGAGATTTTCTGTTTTTTTAAAATTGATCCCCAGCTATGGTCTCCGACGTAACACATATCAGTAAAATTTTGCTAACCAAACTTGACAAAAGGATCTCAAAGCAACCAATGGGAATATCGAAAAAGCCCCACACAGTGTTAAGACCAACCCCTTTAGATTGAAATTGCGGAGAAGTTTTACATGTGTGGATAGATTTGATACCCAATTAATTTTCTCAAAGAAACATCAACAATTTTGACTTGTCGTGCCTTATAAGTCACTTTACGATTTGATCAAGCTAAAATGAAACGATATTATCTGGAAAATACATTTCATGACCTTTCCATTGACATATAGTTTACGGTGGTTATGCTTTAAATGGCGCAGTAACAATTTTTTTCTCAAAGGACACCGGTGAAAGGTCTACCATATCCTGGATCTTATAAGATATTCTCCATCCTGTCTGCCATACAATTCTTATGATATTGGTTTAGAGAATTTGGTCTTGGATCAATGAATATAATCCCCCCATTGAAAGTTTTTCTTTATTCTCATCACTTGCCTACTTGATATTGTATTGTAACTTTATTGTAAGGAGAAAATTCTGTCCAGGTTACTCCAGTGAGTAATAGGATTTTAAAAACCTTTTAAAAATTCCATGTTTTCCAAGGACTAACAACTATAGAAAGACTAAGGACACTTATTTGAAACCAGTCACTTGATTGAATATATACAGTATATATATAGTACTGTAAATGCTTCAAAAAGTTCTCCACCCCCTTAAAAAATACCCTCTAAAAATACAAATGCACTAGTTTCATGGTCAGCTGTTTGAGCTAAATAGGTAGCATTTCCGTACAAAATATACCTGTACTTGAATTTGAAAGCCTGCACTGGTTTCAGTTTTCAACATCAAGCATGAAGATTTAAGGCGAAATAAATGCATCTCACATTTATCGCATATGATAATCATTAAATCTAAATGACAATTCTTTAGAAAAACAAGGACTCGCATTCTACCCCAGAGCAAGTTGTTAACGCACTTTCCATCTCTGGCAAGCCCCCTTTCTTCAATGAGCCTCCTGTCTGGAAGTGTCAGGAGTTAAAAAGCACCCCCCCCCCAGGCTTACTTGGTAAGTTGAAAACTCCTTCATATGCTTACCTTGTCTATCAATCATCCCTCCATGAATGATCCTTGCAACAACAAGTTCTCCCTTTTCCACAACTAATGTCATCCCCTTGATAACAAAAAAAATTACATGCGTGTTGATATTAAAATAATAATGGAAACTTTAATTTGTGTTTTGAAATGTACAATTGTAAATCTCACTATGTATAGGCAATTTACAAATGCTGCTTGAGATTGGCTTATTCAACACACACACAAAAATCAAAATTGCATCAAATCTGGGTTGTCCCAATTCCTATTTCTACAACAAAAGACGCAATATGTTGCTCTAATAGCTATATTTATCATTTTCTTGATTATGTTAAGTTGCTGCTTTTTGTCGATGCCCATGCCATTCATCAGGTCTAAGAATGTAGAGCATTCATCTGAGAAAACGCCAAGGGAGCTCATGGAGAGATTTACAAATTTCACACATCTGAAAGTTCTACTCATTTCGTTAATCAAGTTCCGATATTTTTCTTTTTTACGTACTGCATTAATAATAATAATTATAATAATAATAATAACAATAATAGTGTTGGAATAATATTAACATTATCATCATTTATAGATAAAAACATACAAAAGGTTATTATACACAAGCTCATGAAGCTCATGCCTTCTGTCAAAGTTAGGATATAATTTCCTAATTTCCTTAAATTTAGCTTTGCTTGAATGCAGTCCACCAATATTCTTTAAATCAAAAATTTGTTGGCTGTATGCAAAAAAATAGTTAAGTATGTCTACTGCAGAAGACAAAAACAAGCTTGTAATAATTTGTTAGTAGTGAGAGCAGCAACTTTCAACACGTACATAATCTAAAAGTGTGCCAACTTTTATACAGTCTGTGTAGATCATCCTTAATTTTGCTGACCATGTCACTCTGACTTTCAGCTTCTCTTTAATCTTTTTCAATCTTCTGGACATTCAAATCAGTGTAGTTCCATAACAAGCAGTATTATAAATTTTTTTTAGATAAATTCTACTAAAGAATAATAAATCTGGACAAACCAATGGTTTCTTGGGCAGCTTATGCAAGCCAACCATTCTGATTGGCTGCCCACCAAAGCCATTCATAGTACCAGCCTCGTCATTCACTCCAGGAGAAGCCGGTGGTGATGCATACTTCTTAAATGCGACGTTATCATGAACCTCCAATAATGCCTGGCAATGAAACACAGATTTATCCATGACATATGTAAGATCTTACCTAAAACTTTTGTCAAAACAGCTCGTAATTAGCTAACTTATGCAAACTATGTAATAATCTTTGCAAGTCATTTCTGTCTTCTTTAATTAACCCTTTAACTTCCAAACCTGATCAACAAGTAAATTCTTCCTATAAAATCCATACTTTATCAAGCAAACAGGTAACAAAAATACTCAAACTAATCAGGTAAAATTTGTAGTCTTGATCATACCTCAAATTATTCTAATTGACAAAGGAATGTAGAGCAGCTTGAGGGGAGAATTTACCATCTGATCTCAGGAATTAAGGGTTAAAATTTATGTGATAACAAACACACACATGCTCAGTGTGCATAAAACAATCAATGAAGGGACTAACTACACTCTTGTAAAGTAAAGTCACTGAAACATTCTTTGAAGGACTCCCTAAGTGGGGCACATTTTAATAGTCTTTGTATGATACTCATTGGACATATATATATGATGAATATATGATTTTGGCTATTGCATAAATAGCGCTCTCTACTGTGAGGATCGTGCATCGTACGGACATATATATGTTGTAGTTCAATTTTATCCTTGGTTCAAATTTTATTTTCCTTTGCTTCAAACTCATTATCATACATATTAACATGACCGAGAACAAAGGAAAATAAAATTTGAACCAAGTATAAAATTGAACAACAACATATATATACCTATATATTTTTCATTTTTATTACCCTATTTTAAGTTGTTCATTTGTGATTGTAAATTGTTTACCATTGTAAATAAATAATTTGGATATATCAACAAAGTTGAAATGGTAAATTGGCCACCATAACGATTACAAAAGCTGATATTTCGAGAGTTAGGCCTTTGTCGGAGACTCTGACGAAGGGCTAATGCTCGAAACGCCAGCTTTTGTAATTGTTACGGTGGCCAATTTACCATTTTAACTTTGTTGATATATCTAAATTAAAAAAAAAAGATCATCAGGGACAATTAGGACAATAAACTGCGTCTTTATCAGCCTTTACCATTGTAAATAGTTGCTGAAGAGCCTGTACAGGAGTAATTATTAAATTATTATCATTAAATTATTATTATTATTATTATTATTATTAAATTATTATCATATTAAATTATTATTATTATTATTATTAAATTATTCATTCACTTGGGAGAAAAAAACACAATGTGATAACTTGTATGTGTCCAGAGGGATTGTCTTCTTTTTTCACAATGACCACAATAATCTAAATATGAGAATTATTAGTGAACACTTTGAAGTTATTGCATTCTTGCAGGACGGCCATAAAATCCATCTGCAAACTAACAGAACAAAATACATACCATGAAATGGGGCTCCTGCAATAACCCAGACAACTCAGCGGCACTGTCATCATTTGCAACTTGTGGCTCAAGTTCTGTGGTAACCTGAAATAACAGTCAACACAGTAATACGTGGCTAGGTCTGCAGGAAGATAAGAGGAAATGAATCCTGTGATCCAATTTACTAACAGAGACGAAATTATATAGTTTCTAGACTATACATGAGAAGAAAAGAGAGGCATAATATCTTTATTTTCAGTAGATTAAAATATCCCAGTGACTAAAGATAGTAAATTTTAATTTTCTCGACATACAGTATCAATATGTTCAAAAATATTTAAATACTTATCTCACCTCCATTGCGAGCTGTACTGTGTTTGGGGTCTCGACTTGCTTACGACCCTCTTCAAGTTTGTCATGTGCCTGGAAAAAGTTAATCATGAAGATAATACTAAGAAACATATAAGGCTCTCAAATAAAAAAATTACATTAATTTTGTATTGCTAACCAGTTTAGCTATGCAAGAATTAATCACGAGACCTACAAATCAAGCAAGCACATCTAATCTGGATTCGGTAGGAATAAAACATTGCAGCTACATGAAAAAGAAAACTTGAAGTTCATGATACACTATGCTAGGGACAAAATGTAACTTTATTACATCTCTTGCAGCACCCGTGGGCAAGAGGAAGCAAATCCTGTGTTCTGATTGGCTACTGAGCAGGCAAGATGGGCCCATCTTGCATGCTCAGGATTACCGGCATTGATCCCGAGCATGAAAAAAATAGAATTAGAACTACTTTTGTAATTCTTGGAAAATTTCAGCAATGGAAACGCATAAAGTGCCAGATGATAGTCAAAACAAAGAAAACAGAAATGACACTCGTGAGTTTGATGTGCTACAGAGTTTGCTTTCTTTCCTGGCTTTTGAACTAAACAACTCATTCTTAATTCTTAATAAAGCGAAATCTGTTTGCAATATTATAATAAATCTTTTATTAACCAAGCTTGTTGGATATTAGCCTCGTTCTTTGTCTCGGTCCATGGAAATGCAAAAAAAGAACTCAGTCAATATTTAGCCATCTTGACCTCATGCTTGGTCAATAATACATGTGTATTGACCCCTGTACACCCCATCATCTGTATACATTTTCTCTTTAGTGTTCTACTCCCACTTCCTGTGGTACTGATTGATAGATAATCCAGAGTTTCTCCAGATGGTGTCATTTGTTTTATTCTCATTACCACAATGTTTGATCAAGCAGTAATACGGTAGGGAGAAATTAGATGTTTGTCACTCATAAAAGTTTAAGGGTTTTACTAAGAACTGGATCATTGGATAATGCAATTCAAGACTTTTTATTGGCTTAGCCATTATGGTACATGAGCCAATATACCATAATCTAATATCTGTACATTGTAACATCTGGTTTCTTCTTACAAAATAAAGTCGAGAGAATTTGTCTAATATCTTGGGGGCATTTTTTTTAATAAAACAATTATTCCACTTGCGCTTGTTGGAAATGAGATGATTATAGCCAACTTGGTGCTATGAGCCTTGTTAGCTATCTATCATCTCATATCCAATGCGGGCTCATGGAATAGTTGTTAACTATCCCTTTGATATGAATCAAATATGAAAATCAGGCTATTAATATTCTTCAGGAAAAGCTTTTGTTTGTTGAAAGGAGGTAATGGCAAGCATTAAAAACTAAAAGCAGGAGATCAAAGTCCCTGATTTGAGTCTTGCATATATATGAATTTGTATATTCACAGGGTTTTTATTAGAAGCCGGGCCCTGGGTACCAGCACCTGTTAAAACAAAATACCCACCTACTTCAAGTATGAAATACAAAAAGAAAAAAAAAAAATCATCAAGAAAAAATTATCAACCTCAACTAAATATTTACTCTTCCTCATAAGTTTAAAACCTTTTTTCTGCACTTATTCATCAATTACTTGCCACCAGATCGTGAAAATAAAAAGTACTTTGACAAGAAAGGTGCTGTGCATTAATCAAGTTCTTTAAGTGCCTGTTCAGCAACGTGCCACACGTTCAAGCAAACGCATTCTATGGAGTTATCATGGCAAGCAAAAGAAAACTCCAAGTGTCCTAGATTCTTTTTTGTCATTTACAAACAAGAAGTCAAAGGTTAGTTTTGAGCATTTCATCAATCTTGTATTATTTACACATTCCTTTGAGGGAAACATGCAAGTACTCTTTTGCAGATGAAAGGTCAAGTGCAATGACACAGAAAATTAAATTTTTGTTCTCTGATTTTAATTGGATTCGGAGGAATGATTCTCTTTTTTTGAAAAATTACATACAGTTACAATGCTTCTTATGCTTTCCATTTCTTAAACTGTTCATTAAACAATGTCTGAAGTACAATTCAAAATGTGAAATAAACAACAGGAGTAAAATGTTGCCATAAAAGATACTTAGCAGCTAACAAGTGTGTCTCAATCTAATGCCAACATTTTTGTGGTTTTCAAAGTTTAAATATTCCAAACAAGTGTAAGAAACTTGAAAAAAACTTTGTTCAAATTTAATTTTTATTCAAGATAAAGCCAAGAAAAGCATTCAAAAGGGTTAACATGTCAAAAATTTTTAATGTGAAAATTTACTTCGGCCTGTATAAGCACTGAGAATTTTATTGTTGGAATCCTGCTGTCTGGAACCTTCGATATTTTGAAACTCCTGGTAACCTGGACTGAAAGTAATTTTCTATTAAGGAAGAAGCAGAGGAAACATCCAAAGCCTTGGAGCTAACAGATTTGGACGCTGAAGATTCTGATAACGGCTCTGACTTTGAGTTTTCATAAACTTCAAAAATGTTGTCAGTTTCTCTCTTGACAAGTTATACGTTTGGGCCAACTTGCAACTCTAAGAAGGAAGGAGGCTTTAAAAAACAACAGTTGAATTGTTTTGATGTAGCTATAGCTGTGTATTAAAATATTAATCAAATTCTCCCAGAGTACCATTCCTTTTTACTAAAACTAGATTAAGTGTGTGTCATTGCAAGAAAATAATGTCTTTTCCAGATTGCAGGAAAATGTACTCCTGAGAGACTTTAAGTTTTAAAAATTTCCAAGGAGAGCATGCTCCCAGACCTCCCTAAAGGTTTGAGCTTTCGGCCCTCAATTTCATTAGGGTACCCGCCTACTCACAAAGGCAGCACCCTTCTACTTCAATGAAAACCCTGATATTCAGGATTGGGTCGCGCCTACAAAGAGACTTAAACTGCAACACCTTCTGCCAGTTGGCATTTTTAACTTTCTTTTCAATGGAATAATTTCTTTTGTTGACTTTCTTGGCTCAACAAGCCTTTGTGCTATAAACACAGCCAAACTGGTAAAATTCACAGCCTTTAAATACATGTACATGTACATTTACTTTTCATCATTACCTAAAATTGATTGGAATTCTTGAAAATTCATCAGGTAAAAGGATTGCTGTACTGGATTGGAAATTTATTATACCACACTTTTATTACGGGAGAATATTGCAAACCTAAAAACCTTTTTGGTTTACCTGTGTTTCAAACTCTTCTCTAATAATTATGTGCCAGTATTTAACAACAAACAAAAACCAAATGTCTTATTTACCCTGACTAGTTTCAACACAGAGGCATCTCCCAGAATACTCTTCAAAGCATTTGCTTGTTCTTCCAGGATAAGTCCAGCTGTTTTTGGATCATCAAGTGACTTCAGCACGGTCTGCACTGCTGTGGAAACAAGTGGGTTAAACAGCTCAGTTATAATTATTCAGTAAAACAATAATTACAACAACTTACTCTATGTTTGTATCCCCATCTCTGTAGTGCAAATCAATGATCATGAAAAAGTTTAGATGTTATTGTTTGCAAGGCATTTCTACATTCTATCAAAATATTTTTTCTTGATTGTGTACAACCTTGTGGTATTTTCTCTTGAAAATGCAAAAAAAAGACATCAAATAATTATGTATAACTGACATCAGGGCTGTCAAAAAGGGGTAGGGATTTCCCTTTACTACGAAGGACTGGTTATTTTTTACAAGGTCTAACCCAAACTGCGCAAGCAGTGGGCCTCAGGTATTCTCCATAAGAGAGTTTGATTTAATTAAATAAATGTTATTTCCATTGTTAGCTTATGGCCCTCTTGACACTGTTCACAAAAAAAAAGATGTTTGGAGAAAAGGTTTAGCTAAATTGAAGATGATTTAGAATGTGCTTTTGTTAAACAACTGCTAAACTTTGTTTAAATAACTGGCCCAAGCCCATAGCCCCAGCTACTTTGATACAAGACTATAACTTTGAAAAGTGAAAATATGAAAATAATGAACAGAAAACTACACGTAAAACCATACTTTCGGAACCAAAATCTTTAGTACTTTTGAAGTTCTTAGGTTTTAACCAAAACCACACTTTATTGAGAGGTATGATTTAAGAAGTCAAAACATTTTTCCAACCAAATTCAATTGTATTTTGCTAGTCTGTTTGAAGTGTTTTGTCAAAACAAAATGATGACAGAATGTCAAAAACTTTTCAAAGGTTTTCCAATGCTGCAGAAGAAAAGGAACATGAATATCTCTCTTGAACTATCGTTTTTGTTCCCTTAACAAATATGATTGATGATATAGACACTGGGTGAAACCTTTTATCGCATAGTCTTCAGGGTCAAAATTAGAACACAAATTACAAGGAATTCAAAAAATTACCCATTTGTGTTGCATTGTTTTCTTTACAGAAATGTGTCTACTTCTCCTTGGTTATCACAATATTATCAAGGTCTCCACATGAACCTCCCAAAACATTTTTTTCTATTTTGGTCATAAAACAGTTATTTTGAGCCACCAAATTGCCCTTTCATTAAGGTTGTCATGTGAATATACTTTTAAAAAAGTTGATCCTGAAGCACCTAAGATAAGCAATTAAAAAAACATGACATGTGTAATGAGATCTTGGGCTAAAAAGGTCAACCTTGAGCTCTGAACATCAAATTCACAGTAATGTTATTAAGAAAGATGATTTTAAAAATTTTGGGCCACAATGCCCCAAGTAATATCCATGCACAACACCACTCGTGAATTGCAGCTTAACATACTTGCAATTCCCAAACACAAACACCTACATTGTATGTCTCTTGATACGAAAGCATACAATACAAAATGCATGCTGGTGAAGGTAAAATGCATTTAATTGACACCCAGTCATAAATAGATCTCATTAACCCTTTAACCTCAATGAATGACTGTCATTTTTTTTCTCCTTACAGTATCAGAGCTCAATCAAACATTAAGGTCTGGTTATTGAACAAATTCTTGTTATCAATACCATAGCGAAAGAGCTGAATAATGTATACGCATGCGCTAAGCTTTGCCAGGGAAACACAGATTTTGAGTCGTTCGTATACAGTTGATTTCCTATTCTGTTGCTTCGAGGTGTCGTTTTCCTTGCCGCTTTTTGTTTACGGAACAACCTCCAAAAACTTAGTACACCCCTTAAAAATTTTCAAAAAATAATTTTCTCCTTAAAACCTCTGGAAATAGGAAAATGCCTTCAATGAAAACAGAGTTCCTTGGTTTTAAAAGTCAGCCCTCATTATTTTCCACTAAATTTTAGACCTAGGACACTTAAGCCCACGTTGGTGACCTCATACCCTCTGGCATAGCATTTCATTATTCAGCTCTGTCTACCATAGCAAATGTATAGAGAGCAATATTGCAAATATGTGTATTTAGACAATAAGATTGAAACTGAATGAGTTAAGGCAGTTGGGTCTACATGACTTTTCCTATGTTCTACTTTATTTCTAAAACATTTCTCATAAGAGAGTTAAATAGCAGCTGGTTTGCAGTTAAACTGAGTGAATAAGACCCAGCCAAAGGGACAATGTCTCTAAACTTTTACTCAATGCTTGTGTCGCAAATGGAGGTTGGGTACCTAGGAACCTGGGGGCTGGAGCTGCAAACCCCAAACCCGGGTAGCAAGAACACCCAAAAGCCTGCCCTAGCCACAACCCAGCCATGAGCCCCGCCTGCCACACCCAGCCCCAGCCCAAGCACTTTTCACACTGAACCAGGAGTTCAATGGAAAGATTAAAAAAAAAAAAAAGTAAATCAAAACACCTCGAGCACTACGCACTGTGGAACTACAAGCACATGCAACTGTGCACACATAAGAATGTGACAGGTAACCACTGGCCATGAGTGCGCCAGAACTTGCCTGCAACACGCCTAGAACAGAGAGATAACACGCCAACACCATGCTAATGCCATGCTAACACCACACAACTTCAGAACAACTACAAGTAGCTCCTAGTTGTTAACTAAGTTAAATAAGTATATTTCACCTCTTATAAAACTGGTGACTCTGTAGTTTTCTTTTTAAAAGTTGATAGAAACTCAATTTTTTCTCTATTGACATACAAGGAAATACAAAGCACTTAGAAGTGAGAATTAAATGTACCAATCAGCTATTGGAATCTTACACAATCCAACTCTACATGCTCATTATCACGATGCATTTTGTTGACACACAACTTATGTGTGTTCGGCTCTTTTCCACAAACTCTTGAACAAAGGCTCATCTTTCAAACCGGCAGTCTAAATCCCACAGGTATCAACGAACGCTTTTCATTCCACTAATTTATTCATGTTTTTCTCGTTGCCATGTTCCCACCAATCACGTAGCTCCATTTCCTGCCTTTAAAAGCACACACAACCCACAATTCCTCTATTCGTTCCGACAAAGGGTTAACACTTGAAACGTCAGCTTTTATAACCATACTGGTGGCCAATTTACCATTTCAACTTTGTTGATATATTCAAATTATTTCTTTTCCACTTTACTGTCTACCAAGTGAATTGGGTAGGAGATACATGCATGTGGAGTAGTTTTAACCCTTTTACTTTCATGATCTCATTAATGATTTTCCTTATTATCCAACTACACTTCGTAGAGTACAAATAATGCCATAGACGAGTACAGATATCACGCAGTATTTGTACTCCAGAGCACCAGTTAGACAGGTTTTCTTGCACCATGCAAGCGAAGAATTGGATTGAAGTTAGGAAAAAAAATGGCAGACAATTTGAATCATATTTCTGACCACGAAGAGTCAGAATGGCTAGCAAATATAGATCCAAGTTTATTTAGATGAATTGAACGAAGAAAAACAGCTACACAACCAGGAAATTTCTTCATTTATTGAACAAACAGTCATGATAGAAACTGCAACACGCGCCAAATCGATTCCGCTTTGCATACTTCTGTCACACACTCCCCATTAATGCCCATCCATGAATTTCACCCACACTGAAATACTAATTTCGCTTGTTGGATAACAAATAACTTATTAGATGTTTTGTCGTGTAGTATTGCTGAGTATTTTTACTTGTTATTTTTATGTTGACTCGCCCTACAGGCTTGTCAAAATATGGCACAAATTGTAAAAATACCCAGCAATAATACACAACAAAATGCCTAACAAGATATATGTATTTTTACTTGTTGTTTACATTTTGACTAGAACTATGGGCTCGTCAAAATATGGCACAACTGGTAAAAATACTCAGTGAAACTACACAACAAAAAGTCTAATAAGATATATTTACTGCATGTCTTACAATTCTTTTGATTTTAGTTCCGAGAATTTGATATTGAATCCACTAAAAACACCCTGCTTGATGTTGTACTGATATTGTAAAGAGAAATTATTTATCGATCACATGCATGGAGGGAAGTTTATGAGTTGATTTAATGGTTATGGCATGAGAAAGTTCACAACATGTCACTTTTCAATCTCACTTTGGCACAAAGCAATACTCATGATCTTGTCATATGATTTAAATTCTTAACATCCAGTGATAAGATTTCACCTGTAAAATTTAATTTCCATACATGAATACAAAACACAAACATGCCCTTGCTTATTGAACTTCTGAATTTTCAAAATTTTCTGGGAAGACTCAATGACAATTGATTTGAAACATGTTTATCAGCAGTTTAAAATCAAATGGCACTGCGCTAGGTGCAGTTACTATTAAAGATTTATCGTACATATCTGAAATTGAGTTGTAATGTAAAACTCCTGTGTTGAGAATTATGGCAAGGAAAAGAAACTTTAATTTGAGTCGAGGAGAATTAAAACTAAGGGTTGTTGCCACGAAGTTCTTTTACTAATTATGTTCAATCTAGTTATTTTCATATTATTACCAATGAATAACTATTTCCTGTTTTGAACTAGTAAAATCAAAACCAAATGACCGTCCTTCCTAAATCATGCCTCTTGAAGATAAACACAAGTTATTTAAAAGTGGGGAGAAATCCCTTCCGTAATCTTTAACATGAGCCGGATCAAAATATCCCTTTCAACAAATTTCCTTCATGGAGACAATAGGGTCGGCGACATTGCTTTGAAATTACGATTTGATAGCTGCGACCAATTAACAACATTTTTAGTTTTAAAGTTGCAAATTAACAGCTTGACCACAATTAATAAACGATGTCTATCTAACTATGATTAAAATTGCAAAACCCTTTAATTTGTAGCTCAACGAAGCACAGTTTTCAAACGGCGGGAATCGGAAACATCCCAATCTAGTTGAAATACCGTAAACAACAAATTTAAGAAGTGCAAGTTACACGCTAGCTCATTTCAAACACACCCCTGAAAATATAAGCGACAAATAACATGGAAATTTTCACTCGATCGTGGGTAATGACACCATATCTCCAAAATAAACTCTTGGATCAAATGAATTTTTCTTAACTACCATGATTTTTTGAACAAGAAATGCAAATTTCGGGAGTCCACCCGAGGAACGAACAACCTCACAAACTGAAGTCTTCGTGAGTCACACATGGCTTACCGTATCACATAATTTCAAGCTTTAGCTTTAAATATATTACCTTCAGAGCTCTGCTCCTGTTCTGACTCGGTTGGTACCACCATTTCGCGACGATGTCGAGAAGAATTTATCCTGCAAAACACACTGCAGAAGCTTGGAATGTCCAGTAGACTGAGGAAAGCGTTCTGTATGGATTCGAAAACATGCCAATCAAACTAACGCAAATTGGTCACGTGGACTGTCAAGCAAAATAAGGTACTCCAAGTGTGACGGATTACACACGGAGCACTGAAATATTTAATTAAATACTCTTTGAGAAATTCAATATTCACAGTAAGTATTACATTGTATCGACCGTTGACGATTTATTTGTATTTGAAATGCAACTGCTGTGAATTTTCCTAGATTTGTTACACAAGAAATTCTCCCTACCCCACTAGGGTGGAACTCATTCCCAGATCTCTCCTCGGATAGATGGATCCTTTCGGCTCAAAAATGCATTCCGCTAGTAAAGGAATCTCCTATTATTATTGCTTGTGTATGGTAATAGGTCTCGCCCAAAATATCATCAAACAGAGCAGCAATATTCTTCAAGGATCGATGTAGCTTTCTTTACGGCTTTCGACTCCAAGCGAGCAACGTAAGAGAAGATTTACATGGGCGTGCTGTGGAATTCTTTCATTCAGCGCTGGAATTAGAGAAATCTAAGTTCTACATGATCTTTTTTTAATGTAAGTATGTTTCATCAGGGTACAGGTTTTAAATAAGTGTGTTTCCTGTTTTGAAAGCTACTTGTAAGTTCCTTACAGTAAGTCTTTGTTGAATTGTCTTTGGACTCGGAAATCTGCCGAATATTTATCATGTGGTTGCCATACTGTTAGAAGAAGACTAGTGGTCCTTCGTTTATACTACGGCCAGGGACAATATTGTAGGTACATGTAACAGCACTTATGATAATTCTAGCCCGTTCTTCACCCAATATGACGCGGAAGAATTGTGATAATTTTGCTGGAAACAGTAGCATACCCACTATGTGCAAGTATTAAATTCTCGTGCAATCGTGTTTTTGAATTACTTGACGGATATCGAAAATTGCTAGTTTTTGACGTACGTGTGTGTAACACAAGATTATCGATTCCATTTCATGCACGTGAGCATCAACTAAATGAACGTCGAATGATCCCGAATAATCGGTAACTTCTCGTCAGCCATTTGAAGGGAGTAGTCATAAGATATACATTGGTTTGGTTTTGATTTCAATTTCCTTTTCCGTTGACACCAAGAAATGAGTAAACTGATCGTCATGTCAGCTGAGAGAAAGGTAACAGCTGTATTTACTTAGGGTATTGATGTGTAAAATCAAGTACGATAATCAGTGGTCGTGTTTCTTATATCGACGAGAAGTCATTGAATCAGAAAGTGAAATAGGCATTCTCGTATAATACGTAATGCATGATCAGAAAAGATCACAGAGATATGATGTCAGATTTTTCAAATTATAATCACCTCTTGAAAAAGAATGGGGAAGATTCAACATTTTGAACTTGTACATTGACTGAAGAAGCATGCTTGCTTCAACAGTTTTCCTCAGCATGAGATAGACAAAAATTTCTGAGTCTGTTGCAAAGGGTAAGATGTTGCCCTTAACATTGTCTATCCTAGCATTACGCTGATTACTTGTCTCATTTGAACCCAGCAATGGCTTAATCGCCATAGAGTTATATGCGCCATATTTGTTAGCTGGTGGTGTATGTCAAGGTGGAATGTCTGAGGCTTGACTCCCCTTAATTTTTCCTCTTTCTGCTCTCTTGATAAAGTTAGCCTTCCTTTATGTCAGAGTGGCAATTGGAGCTATTATCAGTATGGGTGTTACAGGATTTTTTTCCCTCAGACTTAACCAAAACTCCAAACTCTAGTTTAGTTCTAAGAAAACAAGGGACAGAGAGGCTCCCTGTAAAAGTACCACTACTAAAATCTAATTTATTTCATTCAATATTCATTTAGTTATTTATAGCCATTATACTGACAATAATTATAGAATATACTTTACAATGTATTTGCTTAGATGCTATTTATGCTTCTCTTTTTCAGGAAATATTGCTCATGAGAATATGGCAGCTGTAAGGAGTAATTCTCCCATGATGGCAGATGGATACCCTCAACCATCACTTTTACCAGGAGAAATAGTTGTTGCAAAAGCCATCAACGTGCTACGATTTCAAACGATGGCAGATCGGAAATCTGGAATATCTGGAGTTCTGTATGCAACCAATTTTCGTATGTCTTTCTTGACACGAAACCCAAGTGCAGAAACTAAACTTAACTCTGTGTTTCAGTCAAATCCTGATTTAACGGAAGCTGGAGAAATCTACTCAGATATGCAAAGAGAAATGCACATTCCACAAACTTGTATAGATGAGATTTCTTATTATTCAAGTTCCACTGCAGAAGGATCGAAAATCAAGAAAGTACTTCCAGGATCACGCATGTCAACCAAAGTCCATTCCTTAGAAATCCGTTGCAAGGACTTTAGAGTGGTGAGATTTGGCTTGAAATTTACTCCCAAGAAAGATTGTCAAACCATGGTGAATACTATTTCCCATTACAAGACACCAAGCTCTATTGTTCTACTGTTTGCATTTCCTTACAGTATAGCACAAAACTCTGCGGAAAATGGTAAATCCAGGCTGAACACCATTCCAACTTTCCGAACTCTTCCTGACTGGCTCAATGAGTTGAGCAGGCTCCAGGTTGATGACACCTGGCGAGTGGCAACTGTCAACAATAAATTCCAGACTTGTCCATCTTTGTCAGAGATGTTTGTTGTGCTCGCGTCCTTGTCGGATTCAGACATCAACAGGATGTCTCTTCATTATGTTGATTCTCGCCTTCCAATTTGGTGCTGGAGCCACTCTCGCACAGGAGTACCAATGCTCTACAGTGGCGCAGGAAGGTATGTTTATGACTTTCTTAACCAAGGGTGACTAGCATTTAGTTTCTCCTTACATTATCAGCCCTGAATCACACATTAAGGTCATGAGAATAAAGGAAATGATCACCAAAACCAAATGAAGAAGGCAGGGCAGGAAACTTTCTTTTCAATTCACTTGTCCCTTTGGACAAGTGTTGTGTGTATTTTACTTGTCCAGACCACAAAACTACTGGTACCAAAAAATCGGTAACAGCAATCTAGGGTTTCAAAAATCCTTTTTTTTTTTTATCTCAACCATGCCCCAGTTAAGTGAAAAGCTAATTAGTCAAGAAAAACATTCAACTCAACAAATTGAATAAAGGTATTTTCTTTTGATACATCTGTTGGTGTATGTAAAGTGGGCAATATTGAACAGTTTTTCTAGCCTTGCTTGTGATTCCTGGCTTATTCGCAAAAACATCTTTTGCAATGGGTTGCCTTCCTGTTTCTGGTCATTCAACAGTGTTGTATTGCAAACAATATGGCGACGACTTTTTGAATGGGCAGTTAAAGTTTCTCATCTAAATCCTTGAACTCCATCCCCACATCCAATATACATTGGGCTGCTTTTATCTGCTAATTCTGGAAACTTCCGATAAGTGGAGCAGTGGATTCTGTTTGTTTTTAGCTCATAACAAACCCAGTCGAATTCTGTCATTCAAGCCGACTGAAACGTTCTTACATGCTTGGTTTCATAATTCTTTTTATCTTCAATCTTTTTCTTTTTGGAAGGAACATCCTCATCTGTATTTACGTTCTTAAGTGCTTCTGTGACCTTTTCAAAAATTTAAACAATTTTGATTTGGACATTGCCGGTACTCAAGCGATTCAGGTTGCTGACGTCACTGACTGTTGCAGCACATGTGATTGATGTACTTGCAATTGTGCTGTAAAGCAGGGATCCCATGGAAATCAATTGGTCTTTGATTTCTTCGCTAAGCATCACCAACTTCCACAAAAAGAAGAGAAAGTTTATTTTCAAGGCACTTAGTTAAAAAATAAGGGAAAAAAAGGATTTATTATTTATTCAAAGTCAGGCAAAGTCAGAGCTCTACAACTTACTTGTCCAATAGGACAACTTCGGTCACCTTTTTCCTTGTCTGAATGGAAAAGTTATCCGTCTTGGACGTTCGGACGGGCCCAGTTTCCTGCCCTGAGAAGGTCTTGATTGTTAAACAAATTCTCTTTGTTAGCAGCTTAGGAAGTCTATAGAGAACAGTTTGGAGAAAATTCATTCTGATGTTGGGGTGTGAAGAGTTTTTGACTGGCATGAGTGACTGAGGCAAAATTTCCCCCTACAATATCAATACAACACCAAGTAGACAGGTGATGAGAAGGAAGAAAAATATCAATTAGGGGATTTTCAGTTGATCCAATTCAAAGTTCTCTAAACTAACATCATAAGAACTGTATAGCAGACAGTAAGGAGAATCACTGATTAGATCTTGGGAGTGAAAGAGTGAAACATTTTAAATTGGTCCTAAATGTAGAGGGAAAGCATTCATTTAAAAAAATAGCCATGATCAGCTCAGGTACTTTGTAAGCCTCACCAGCATCTCAATTATCAGTCACCTCCTTCAAATTTTTGTATGTAATCAATGACAATTCATTCGTCTTTTTCAGACCAGAAAGTATATTTCTTGAGAAGGAAGAAACATCCTTTTTCCGAGCATTATCATTAATTCCATGCAATACTGAACACAAAGAGGTCAAGGTGATTGATGTAACAAAGATATGTCCAACTACAAGAGACCTACAACAGAGCTTTCTTAAGGTTAAAGAGCTCTGTTTGTTGGAGACAAGCAAGGAGTTTTGGAGCATTGATCCTCATTGGCTATCAAGGCTGGAAACATCAAGGTACCGACTCATAAATTTATATTAAATTAAAACTGATTGATCAAAGATTAGTTTTTTTACCTTTTAACTCCCATGATCTGATTGTTAATTCTCTGCTTGCGCTGTTACCTGTTTCCTTGAAAATTAGTTATGATGATTTAGTGTTAAATCAAGATAACAACTGCTTCCTGATAAGTTTGGATATTCTCATTACCTGTTAGTTGGATAATGTATGGATATTGTTGGGGGAAGTTACATGTTAATCACTTCTGGGAGTTGAAGGGTTGAACAATCCATTATTGTGCTGCTTTGGCAGATAAGTAGAACACTTTTTTTGTAGCGTAGAAGACTGCTGTAACAGGCAGCTGGCAATCAAGGTATCAGCTTTTACACAATACATGGTTGATGCCTAAGGTAGCAAGCAGTAAGCTGGCATAGTGAAGACCTCTGTCATAATTGCATGCATGATTATCGTTCTTCTTGGATCAATTTGTTTTGGGAAAATTCTGTTGTTTTTAGCCAGGTTGTCAAGGCCAGAAAGGGTAATACAAAGTAATGGTCAATGGACCAACCATTTGTGGGAGGCGTGGTGGCCTCATGGCTAGTGAGCTGGACTAGGATCAAGTGGTCTGAGTTCAAGCCCTGGCCAGGGAATTTGTGTCATGTTCTTGGGCAAGACACTTTACTCTCACAGTGACTCTCTTCACCCAGGTGTCTTAATGAGTACCGCAGGGCTCGACACTAACGGTAGCCCACTAGTAGAAATTCAGCTTTGGCTAGTGGTTTTCAATTTCCACTAGCCAGTTTGGCTAGTAAACAGGCTGAAATTGTCTAAAAGCATCTGAGATGTCACTAGCCACTTGGCTAGTAAGTTGAAAAGTTAGTGTCAAGCCCTGGTACCGGCAAATTTAATGTTGGGGGTAACCCTGTGATGGACTAGCATTCCATTGAGGGGGGAGTAGAAATACTCCTAGTAGCTTTATGCTATGGAAACCAGAGTTAAGTGCTGACCCAATGGGCCACTTGGCTTGTAAGCGGGATTTACCTTTACCATACATTAACATGTGAGAACTTCAATTGTTAGTCGCAAATAGTGCATTTATTATCATAGGAAGGGTAAATTCTTACACAAAGGTATTTTCCACATTATTTTTAGGTGGCTAAATTATATAAGGTTGTCTCTTGTTGCTGCTATGGATGTTGTACACTCAATCTGTGATGACCGGTCACCTGTTATTATCAAAGAAACTGGAGGTCGGGATTTTGCTGTGGTCGTAGCAAGCCTTGCTCAGCTCATTTTGGATCCATATTATAGAACAATAAGAGGTTTCCAGACTCTTATTCAAAAAATGTGGGTTCTTGGAGGACATCAGTTTCTTCTGCGCTGTAATCACATCATTCAGCCAAGCCAGGAAATTGACAAGGATGAGTCTGGAGAGTCGCCAGTGTTCCTTCATTTCATTGATTGTGTGTATCAACTCACACAGCAGTTTCCATCCGAGTTTGAATTCTCTGAGACCTATCTTCATGCTGTTCTTGACACTGTTCATGCAGGCATGTTTGATACATTCTTGTTTGACTCTGAGAAGCAAAGATCAGAGATGTGTGGAGTGGAGTTAAAAGGAAATCCTATGGCATCCTTGTGGGAGTTTGTTGCAGAGCAACTTGCAGAATCAAGAAACTCAGGGCCTTATCTTAACCCATTGTTTGAGTACAGAAGTTATTTGAACAATGATGAAAATGGAGTGAATGCAGAGTCTGTTTACCTAAGAGTGAACACGCTGGCTCCAGGTATAAAATTCTGGTCAGGACGTTACCTAAGATGGCTCCCGACAGTTCATGTGAGCACAGGGATGGGAGAGAACTCCTCATTGCAATTTCAGCAGATGATCCTGGTGAATGAATTAAGGGTTTGGCGGCACCGTCTGGCGGTCAGCAAGTATGAGCAAACTCATGATGGAAACTCAATTGATGGAGACAAAACCCCTTGTCTGGACTACACCGATTATGAATTTAGCACTGATTTTAGTTTGGACTTGGAGACAAGCAAACTACTCACTCCTAGCATGCCATTGATTGGTGATCTGGCCCTGAGCAAGTATTGCTCTGGAGATTTGCTGTCAGCAAATGGATCTTCAAACAATACTGTTGATGTTGGGAAGTTTTGACAGTGATATCGTACTGGTTGAAGTCATTTCTGAAGGTTAGATTGGCCAAGCAGATCCTCTAGAAACAGAGCTTTGGTGCGGCAGTGTGAATGGTTCTCCACAGAATTGTCAAGGGGACTATTTTTACAGAGTTGGCAGTGAAATAAATGCAGTATTCTCCTTTTCAGGGGGTAACCAGTAAAATTTACCACCATTAGTACCTGTTGTTACTACCCAAAATCTCATGAAGTTCGTTTTAATTCAACAGGTAAAAAGATTGTTTTACCAATCTGAAAATTTATTTTACCTGTCATGCTTCAGAAAGGTGATAAAATTGCATTCGATATATGCACATGTAAAAGTTACTGTCAACCTCAGAAAGTCATGAACACCAGAAATATGTTGTGAATGTTACAAAAAAGGGCAATAAAGTTTGTCTGTTTGACCTCTTAACTTTCATGACCTGATCTGGTGAAGGGGTTACCCACAATGCAGTGAGCATTACCAAGATATTTTGCCTGTTCATGATTCTCTAAGTTTGAAAGTACAGTACAAGTGAATACTCTGCCGGTCAAATGTTAGAGCTTAAGCAAAACATGGCTGTATCTCCCATAGTTGTTGAGCATTCCATTAGAAGTAATGATTATTAAGAGAAAATGCCGGTAGCAATTGATACAAGAAAAAACAAAAGATGTGGCAGTAGGCTGATTTGGGCAAACCTAAGTTTAAAGAGTGTCCTGCCGCATTACTTTTACATTCAAGACAAGATGTTATTAGTAATTTTGTATTTAACAGGTTGAGGAGATTTTCTTCTTTTGACTGACCTGTGCAATGTTCATATTATTGTTAATGTTAAACGCACATTTTCAAGAGAATTGTGAGTTCAAGTAAATTTGTTATTAATGGTTTTTGAGGTCAACGAAATGAATTAAGCTTGAATTGAGTTTGAAATCGTAAATTTTCACTGTTTTCCACTTGTATGATAACTAATATGATAAATGTTTACTTTCACAGTAAGTCTTAAACTTTTGCCTTTTTAGGCCAAATTTTAAAGATTTTTAGGGGAAAAAAGCGACATCAGTACAAGTCTAAAGTTATAATAAGAATTAAATATTTTTATTATGATTATTATCATCACATGCTTCACAACTTGAGGTATGCAGCTGTGCAGATACCATATATCCTTTAAGAAGTGGCCATGCTCTAACAAGTGCTTCTCCCCCAAATGAGCATGCATCCTTAGGCCACACACTAAACAAGCACCCCCCCCCCCATCAAATAGGCATCCCCTTCCCCCTTGATTTCTTACAGAGTAGGAATACAAGGACAATCTGTTCCTATTGCAAATTTATTTATAACTCTTTAANAAATTTCTTTGTTATCATGCTAAGTAGATACAGGTCTCAATCACAACAGGGTCACACTTAGCCTCACTCCTGTTCAAAGGCTTGGCCACCAAGCCCACAACTGTAAAAGGGACTATTAAGCACCCTCCTTCCAATGAGCACCCCCTACTTGACCAAAAATGATCCCCTAGGCACTTATTGGAGGAAATATGGTAAATGGGGATGAATTATTCGGGTATTCATCCAATGATAGTTAATATTAAATTAGAAGTTGTAATATCTTAAAATGAATTTGAAATTGTAAACACAGTGCAATGCTGTTTAAAAAATTTGAATTTTTAACTCCTTTATTGCCAGCAGTGATTCACATGTCATTTCTCCCAATAATATCTCTACATTATCAAGCAACAAGTAATGAGAATACTCAAGCTTGTCATGAAGGAGCTGTTATCCTGATTTAACACCAAATTCAGTAACTTTTTCACAAGGAAATGTGAAGCATCCAGAGGGGAGAAAAACAATCCTATCTAGGGAGTAAAAGGATTAAATTAGTAGAACTGGCTGGCTTATGTACAAGTAAAAAAAAATCAATCTTTTTATTTGCCATATATTTATGGTATGTTGTATGATGTATGTGAATATATGGACAATTATGTCATATCTAAGCCTAGGTGGAGTTTACCCAAATTTACTAATAAAAATTGAGACTCAATTATTGTTACTCACCTAAACAGTCAATTCAAATCTACATCAACTCCTTTAATTCTTTGACCCCAAACAGTGCAAGGGTGTAGTCAGGGGGGGTCTTGGGGTGCCTGTGACCCCCCCTTGGTAGGTCTTTAGAGCAAACAACCTACAATATTCAGGTGGAAAAACGCCCTGACAATATCTTGGCCTTAAAAGCCATTGGTGAAAAGCTCACTTTTTTAAAATTTGTTTTTTTTTTGTAAAGTATTTTCATCGACTCTTGCATTTAGTTAATATGGGCTTTCATGCCGCGACAATACGACAGCCCGCTGATACACGCGGGAGAGCAGCAGTGTAAATGGTGAGTAGCCTCTGTGACACCCCCTTTGAAAAATCCTGGCTACGCCCCTACAGTGAGTAGCAGTATCACCTCCAAATCACACAGCAAGGCTACACAAATAAATTAAATGATCTACAACTACACCTTTTGGTGAAGTGGGATCCCTGTTAAAATATTGTAATTATTATTAACTAAAGAAGCTCTTGATTAAGAAACAAATTCTCCTTGTGTGCACATTAGGAAATGTGAAAGAAAAGAGTGTAAAGATTATGCGCACCAATGTCAGGGATTAAGGAGTTTTAGAATTCTGTTTGGTCATCCTTAAACTTGTGGAGCCTGGTTCAAAATAAAATTTGATGAACTATCAATTTACCCGTAACCCTTATGAAGGCATGTTCTGTGAAAAAATCTTCAACGTGGCTTCAGATGAATTCAAGCTCAGCATCACATCATTTTAGGGGGAAGGGGGAAGGGGGAGCGATTGGAACAAGAAAAGAAGAAAATTTTGTATACCACAGTTGCAATTTGTACATCCCCAAAATTGAACTGAACTGTTTCAGTCTTTTCTAACATGTGTCAGGTTCGTGGTCAAGAAAGAGAATCAAAGAAAATAGGAGAGAACATGGCAACTTATAAAACAATATCATTATACAGTTTTCATTTACCAATAGACTTGACTAGACCATTGAGTAAGCAAAAATAAATATTGGAAAACAATTAGTTAGTGTGCCACCTGGAACTCTGGGAGTGAAGCTTCCAGAGCTCTGCTGAGCTTGCTATCATTACTTTTTTTCAATGACTTTTTTTTTTTTTTTACTAGAGCAGCAAACTTCACTAGATAGACTTGTAGTCTAATGCATCATCTCCTATAATTTATGACATTTTGACAGCTCACTTCAACACCTTGTATCTATAATGAGTACCAAGTTTTACATAGTAGACTCATGATCAATTTGTAGTAAGCATGCAAAGCAAAATTTAAATTGACATTCTGTGAAGTTCAAGATTTAATTGTGATTTAACTACATTTTGAAACAAAAATTGAAGCGAACCTCCTGTCATAGTGCTGTAATACTACAGTACTGTTGTGTTAAGTTTCTATAGAAATGTCCTTTAATGGTTGAGTGCACTAGATACTAGTATTGCCATGAAACAATTGGCCTCAAATACAGTTTATAGTTACATAAAATGTTGGATCTTCTTTTAGTGTTGTTGTGCCCAGTCCAGAGGGACCCACTGCTCTTCCTGCTCTAGATTTTCAAATGTGTCTACAATGCTGACATAAGCTTCTTCAATGTCCTTGTTTTCTATCGTCAGGTCAAAGAATCTCCCATAAGTCTCTTCCAGCATTCTAGAAGTACTGATCATTTCTTGTAACTCCTCCTCCTTTATAAAAGAAATAATAAATTTTATTTAAGCCACGATTGAACTTGAGGTAATTTACAGGTTTGGATTTACATCACGCTTTTTACAACTTGATTGGATTACCTTTTCCATTCTGATATCTTTCACTATCACCAAATATAATTAAGGAAGGAAGATGTATCTTCCTTCAGTGTCAAACAAAGAAATAATTCTGGGTTCCCCTTAGGAATTGAACTGCAGACATGTGCATTGTGAGCTTCAATCAATGCTCTACCACTAAAGCACAGAGACTCTGTGGTGAGTTAGGTTATTAATTTAATATGAAATTCAATGCAGTTTTGCACCAAAACAGAGTTGAGGGGGGAGGGGGTGTGACTCAGAGTTCAAACTTGGACCTTTTAAACTGGAGTTCAGCACACTGGCCCCAAGGTCAACCTTAGTCTACCTCCTTTAGGTGGGTATGACATCCCCAACCACAACCGCCTCCTGGTTAGCTCAATGGATAGAGCGCTGGACTGTAGTGCGGGAGGTAGAGGGTTCGAGCCCCGGCCGGACCAACACTCAAGGTCTTAAAATAATTGAGAAGAATTTGCTACCTTTCTATAACATCAAGAAATGGTTAGATATTCT